TTACCTTCTGAACGCTCTGTGGACGCCCTTTGCCTGCAGAACAAACTCAATTGAATAAAATTTACACGTTTTTGGGCTATAATTGACCGAGTGCGCGCTACCAAATAATTCCGACTAACATGCCGACGGAAAGTACGACCGCAAAGAGTTAAAACTTTACTCCTCACAAACAACAATATAAACAACAGCCTAGCTATATTTGCACAATAAAATACTTATTTTTAGATATTAAATTCATAATATAAAAACAGCTTTTAGTTATTAATTTTTTGTTAATTTAACCGTTTGAGAGCCACGAGTTATTGCAGAAATTTGACCGAAAAGTGCCAAGCGGCGTGATCGCGCTTTTCATTCGATGTCGAAAAATGTCGAAAATTTTGTTTTAGAAATTTTCTCCGAATATGACTGGAAATAGCACGGAACAAAGGCAACATTGATGATTTTATAAAAAGAATAGAATAGAATTTACACTTGGTGGTGGCAATTTTCGACACAGAATGCGAGCACCTAAACGTTTAAATTTGAACCGATTTATTTTTATACTTCGTTTAATGCAAATATATGTATATCAATGTTGTTATTTTTATTTGATTAAAATGAGTTACTATGGAAACGACGACTTTCAGTTTCAATAAACTTAAAAAAAAAAATGTGTCTGAATTTGTTTAACTGAGATAGACTTGCTTTCTTTCGGGACCTCGTAATAATGTTACGCCTAGGGCCTCGAAAAGTATAAATGCAGTCCTGCGTTAATGGAATCGTCCGTCACTCGTTGAACACAATCGTTCGACAGCATTCATTCAAGTATGTAAAACAGTCCAACGTTCGGGTCTTCTTCCGCTAAACATTCCTTACACTTCCGTAATCATCGACCGGTCGAGGCGATATTACACGCTAGTCAATCGTCCAACGTTCGGGACGACGACAATATTAGCTGTCAACACCATTTGCTCTACCGCATTTTTAATAGTTACCCAAAATTAATTTGGCGGGTAACAGTCGCGACGCGAGTTCAATCGAAAACGGAACAGCGCGCCCGATCAAATAAGCCTGATAGCGGCATCGATATTTTCAAAGATTGACGATATATAAATATGACGGATGGATTGTCAAAAAATGCCGCCGCTAAATAAAACTACGCTTGATTTCGCGAGATGATTTCTGGAGGGGCGACGTAACTGTAGGACTGTCGGAGAGACATTCGTTTCTTAACCCTACTGCGTTCTTCGTTTTGACTGTACAACTTAAGACTTTTGGGTCAAAGAGGACCTAAGACCTTATGTGTGATAATTTTTATTTCCAACGCGACGTATGAACCTAGACAATAAACGTTTAAAATAATGTTAAGGAACGTAAACTTGATAACAGGAAAAATTACTAAAAATATAAAAAGGCGGTGGGTCAAGAAAGACCCGAGGACCGCTATAGGGTGAATTGAAATAAAACGAGTTTGTCAGACAATATTAATTTCTCATCGAGCTTGTTTTTATAACTTCAGTTTTGTTAAAAAATATTCCACCATTCAAAACATCTTGCTGGTAGCGTGCAAATTCGCTATGATGTTAAACCGACTTTATAGATATTTAAAACTCCAATTCGGACATTCACTCGTCGTCACGACGATTTTTACCCTCATTTCAAATGATACCCTACTACTCACAAGGGAACATGAATACAAATGTAACTACATAAAAGGAAGACCGACTAAGTTTGATTTATATGGTTACAAACAACAAATCTGCGAATGAAAAAATCAAGGACAGAATTCCATCTGTAATGGTGTTCACTGTTTAATTTCTATTCCTCGCGAGTGTCTATTAATTAGGCCAGTAAAGCTCTATAAAAATGATTTGAAGAAGATTCAATAAAAGAAAAATGAAGTGAAAATAATGGGACAGCTAAACCAGTCACTTCATTTGCATTGAAACTGCGGGAGAAACTAGATCAGCAGGTTAAGAAAAACTATCTCCAGTCCTAAATACATTTATAGAACCCCATGAGACTACTGAAACAACAAAAAGCCAATTGCTAGAAAGTTACGAATCAGGTGAAATAAAAAGTTGAATAAAATACCAACGAAATAACACGTTTCGATCAAATTTTCATATACGTCCTAACACTCGTAAGCGGCAACATTTACTGAATTATGTTAAAGCAAAACTTCATAGGCCAAGTGCTGCAATTCTGCATCGAGTTTTTTTGAATTACATCGCTAGTGCTGTTTTTAACCCTAGTACGGTCTTCGGGTCTTTTTTGACCCATCGCCTTCTTATCTTTTTAATTACTTTTGCTGTTATCAAATTTATGTTCCCTTAACATTACATCGAAAGTTCATTACCTAAGTGCTGGTAACAAAAATTGTTACACCTAAGACCTTTGGGTCAAAGAAGACCCAAAAACCTAAAGTGTACAGTCGAACGAAAGAACGCACTAGGATTAACCAGACTAGTTTGCAGAAGGTGATTGTTCGTTTAAGTGTTTATTTATTAGCCGATAATTAACGATTCATTACTCCTATAATTATTCAGAATTTTCTTAAAGATGTTTCTTTTTCCGCGTTCCGCCGCGGAAAATATAGTTCGACTTATATCCGCCCCTTTCACCTTACGAATAATTTGAGGAGTGTGTTGGATTCGATCTCAACTAACGAGTAATATACCTTTTGAAATTTCTCTACGAACTTTCCGAACAACACAATATATAATTCGTGGTTTGGGTTACGCGTGCAGGACTATCGGATGTGCCTAACCATCAGATTATCGCAATTCTGTAGTATCGGGGCCTCGATACTACACCCCCGAGGGAGTGGTTGGCGTAGCGCGCAAAGCCTCGGCTTGGTAAATTCGATTCCCGTTGAGTCTCTCGATATTTTTCCGTCGTCGGTTCCTACATATGGGGTCTCAGCCGGGATGGAGGCATCTACGGCTATACGAAGCCAGGAGGTGTGCGATGAAAACATGTTTTGAGGGTTGCACGTCTCCCAGAAATGCGTTGTTTCAGCTGTGTGCCCGAAAGGGTTGAGTTTGTTGAGTTGTGTTGCATTGAGGACATTCGAGGGTGAATAGCCGAGTGTAGTATCGGGGCCTCCATACCCAAAAAATAGGAAACCGACAAGGGAGAATAGCGAGGGAGTAATTAGCGTAGCGCGCGAAGCCTTGGCTTGGTAAGCCGAAGGCCCCGATTCCCGTTGGGGTCCCTCAACATTTTTCCGTCGGTTCCTACAATTCGTATCAGTCTTTCACATGGTTTTCGAGATTGCGACCTCATCTTTTTCTGTACGATGCTGCAATACTCCCTCAGGTCGTTTAAATTTACCTTTGTAAATTGCAGGGGCTGGTCTGCATGGGAAGTTACCGATATTCTTTACGGTCTGCTATTTATTTAGAGTGAAAAATGTCATAACTTTGCAAGTCTGACTTTCTATCACTGTTCAGATACGAAAACTTCGATTAATCTAGAACAGGGAACCGATTTCGTACTATCTTGTTACAATCAGCGAATTAGGCACGAGTTACTGTTTATGAAACAGTTGTTGGTTTAATTCAATATGCAATGAAATGGAAAATTAAAAGCTGCGGCATGAGTAATTTTAAAAACGAAAGAGCAACTCGTTGCTTTTTAAACGAACCTACAGCAATTATTGTTTGTTTATATCTAATGGAAATGCTCCGTTCTTCAGGTAACTGTTATATACAAGTCAAAAGAAAAATGTCGCGTTCTGAATAAAAAATATATACATATGTACAAAAAAAATCACTCCGTGTGACTTCCTTTTTAACAATGCCTTAAACGTATTTTGATGCAATGATAATTATGACCCGAATTTACATGGAAATGTTAGAATATTCGTGGTTTTAATAGAATGGTAAAACGAAGAAGAGGCCATTCTGCATGAAAAATAAACGAAAAGAGAAGAAAATAACGTACTTTTATGCGAACATGCGTCGAACGTATAGGCAAAAAAGATCGAGTATGTGATTACTTATGGAGTTTTGTTTAGTAATATCGTTAGGATGATGATAAGTAATTATGTATAGAATTTCACAGAAAATAGGATGAAATACTGAAAGAAATGTTTCAAAAAATTTTGGTTTAAAAGAAGGACCGTTGAAAAGTGTACATAAATCGTAATCGCAAAAAATGAATGTAAGATATAAATGTTCGTAATAGAATTTTATTGTTTCAAATTGCTTTTCCCTTAACGAACACGAACATTTACGACAATTTAATCTTTCAAGTTTAAAATGAGATTGCTTTCTATATCGATGCTAGATTTTCTAGATATGATATAGAAATGATTGTGCAACTCAGTGTAAATCCTCAATTGCAGCGCTTGCTCACAACGCGATATTACAAACGACATCCTATAGATAATAGTAGAGAAATAATGAAGTGTCCAAGAGAAAAAATTTGATTTCAAGAAAGCTCATGAAAATGTGTCGATTAGCACTGACAAAGACATATATGCACTTTCTAATTCTTTTGTCATTTTTTTCTCGAAGGAAAATCAACTTGAACTAATTTCTCTTTTTCATACGGAATTACTTATCAAATGTAACTTGCATTCTACAATACATCTTTTGCTCATCCCATCTTTATTACATCCTCTCTTTATCAGTGGAGCACGCGTGAATTTGACAATCTTTCGAACTTTATTTCACAAAATTGAAACACACTGTCTTATTCTACATGCGTTCACATGTGAAATAAAGATACTTTTCATGTAGAATCACCTCTGTGTCGATTAACACCGTCTATCACGCAACACACTGCGTAACTAAAACGATCGACATTACCCATAAATAAGAGCAATACCAGGCCCGAGAAAATCTTATCCGAGTAAACGGGGAAAATCCGTGGTTGAATTTAGTAATTGGAAAAATCGTATAACGACAAGAAACTGAATAAAACAACCTTACCGAGTACCCACATGCACTCGGCGATCAAAGAGGAAACGGATTGTTCGTAAAAACGCGGCTTAATTTGCAGTTCACACTTACTGTTAGCTTGCGGCGAGGGCGGAGAATCATCATAGTCCATTGGCTCGGCTTCATCGGCGACATTTAGCATGTCGCCAGTTTGCTGATCGTTCTCCACCTGTGTTTCTTCATCGTTCACACTCTCTCCGTGCTGTACGCGAATTTCGTTATCCATTTCCTCGCGGACATTCTCACAGACTTGGTTCTTTTCGATCGTGTTAAATATCGCGAATTCATCGGGAACACTATTATTATCCATCTTATCGTCCTTCTTATCTTTTTCATTGTCCTCGTCCTCGTCCTCGTCCTCGTCTTCGTCTTCGTCGTTGTCGTTGTCCTCGACTTCGTCCTTGTAGACCTTATGCGAAATAGCGTCGGTTAGCGGTTCGTGCGTAATGTTAGCGTTAACGTTGGCATTGGTCGATTCGTTGACGTTTATGTCGTCGAGAACGTTCGAGTCTTTGTCAGGCTGGTTTTGGTCGTGATTCGAGTCGTTGTCTTTGATAAGTCCTAAGCACTGATCCAGGACGGGCATAAATCTCGCGACCATCATGTCGACGAGGGCATCGCCGATGAGGCCGCCGTAGACGGGGCCGTCGTCGACGACAGTCTCGGGCCCTAGATCCGAATTGTCGTAGTCCGCGTCGCCGTTCTCGTGTTTCCCATTGCTGGCCGCTAGGATACCGTCGTCCTCGTGGTCGCGGTCGCGATCGCGGTCGCGGTCGTGTGGTTCCTGCGAGATCACCGTCTGTTTCAGGATATTCGAGTTGGTCGCGTTGTGCGCGTCGTCGATGTCCAGGAACGGTTTATCCTTCGAATTCATTTTTTCGAATAAATAACACACTTGTAAACGATGGTACCAATGGTTGTTCTGAGACCTGGCTGCTATTTCGTTGGCTGGTGTTAACAGGACCACAACCACCGTGATGTTATCCTTCGAACCTAAGTGCTTCGCCCACTGCAGCAGGATCTGGGGTGCGCGTTTATACCCGTCTGAAACGTGAAAACATATCTTGCTTAGCTGAAGGCAACGTCTTTATCGGTGGTACTGGTTTTTACACGAGCAATCAAAACGTTCGATCGATAGTTCGACCTCTTTGTTTTCTGTATCTGCGAGCGTTTAATGTTGTCTCTGAGATGAATGCAATAACCGATAGTACGAGCCATATACAAGATTAAATAAATAAATAGTGATTTTTTTATAGCCCAGTTTTGCGGCTTTAAAAATGAAAGCAACTAATTTCATGAAAATCAACGTAATATACCGCCATCTTCGATCATTCCTTCGACGTTTTCTATCGAGACAACATTCGACGTTCTTTTTATAGTTCTATAATACCTAATATGTACAATTTTCAATTTGTATTTATTCAAATTTCTCGTGTAATTACTTGCCCCTCGTGTAATTCTCATGCAATTATTAATACGTATTAATGAATCCTGACTTCTAAAATCGCAATTATAAAATGACGAGCTCCTTCGGTATCGCAAACACATGCTTATGTACTTATGTTAATAAAATAACAGAAGAGCAGAAAGCAATTCAATTTGTTTAAATTACGTTCTTACCTTAATTATCCATATAACAATTCATATATTTATTTCTCTGCGTTAAAAGAATGTTAATGTTATCCTGGAGCACAAATGGGACAATATGTCGCTACAAATTTCAAAATGAAATAATAAATGCAATTGCATTTTGTATTCATAGTGTTTCGCTAGTGGACAAAAGACCGAGTCATAGAAAGTGGATTCTCTTTAAACCATTAAACGTCTTCCTCTGCAGCTTATTACCAATTATAATTAAGGAAGAGATGTAATCTATCTCAATTGTATGATTCATCCTGCGATAGTAATCGTTTTACAGAAGACAGAAGTCTGACGAAATGTACTTAGATGAATATTTGAAAGGTACTTCATAAATTTAACTATCTTTTTATATTAAATTCTTCACTTTGAATTCAATTTAAGTTACAACTTTGTTTCAATACAGGGCACGTAATTTTTGTACGGAACAATTCGTATATCCAAGGAGGCTCTGTTGTTAAAACAGTTCAAAAAATGACTGCACTGCTTCGTTATTAACAAACAATAATTTTGTTATATCGATGCGTTCGTTTGACTTTACGTTACATTCTTAATTCGTTACAATTTTTTTTAACGAAGAAATTCTTCGAATTATAATTCGAACTGAAAATTCACAGTCAAAACACTAAATTACTATGCTTGTTACTTAAATAGTATACAACCGTATTCGTGAACGCCTTTTCCCCCGACATAACAGCTGTATATGGCATCTGAGTCAGCAATGAGAACCGTGATTCATACAGACCGAAACATGCTGATGCGAAATTACGTAATTCTGATTATTATATTGCCGGTCTGGCCGCGTGATGTAATATTCCGCGTGCAACGCTAGAAATGTGTAATACAATAAGAAATGCCCAAGACCAACAATAGACACTTATTCCCATAACATAATTATCTTTTAATAGAATTTTAGCACAACAAGTGGAAGAAAAAGTTATTTTCTGTAGGTTAGCAGAATTTTGCAGAGAAGCAAAAAAATGGTAGAACATACCGACGGTCGATATATCTCGGCACGTATGCATACACACGAAGGAACGACATCGAAAAACTTACGACTGAAGAAATTTAGAGCAAAGGAATAGATAGCGTTCAAGTACTATTAGTAAAAAAAATATATGATAGTTGAAACAATCAATCGATTGTTCGATCTCGTTACTCTAATATTGTTATACGCGAGATTTATACGAAGAAAAATATGTAGCTTCGTTAAAGAAGAAAAGGAATGTAATAACATATTATGTCCAAAATTAAATAATCAAATTGTGCCAGTATGTTATACAGGGTGAGTAATTTAAATCGGTCCGCGCGAATATCTTCGAAACCATTGATGACATCATTTCTTGACATAAATAGCTTAATAGTTTTTTATAAGCAACGGCGAGCTGCGTGAAAAAATAATTCTATTTAAAAAGAAAGAAATTTGACCTTCGTATGAGCGGTTTTTTTTTTAAAAGTGCTATAAGTCCATTTATTTTTATATTGAGGTATTTAAGAGTTTGCGTTTGAATTAATTAAAAAATATTGACAAACGTTAATAATTTCGTGTAATGTTTCTAAAATTGTAAACATGTTAAATTTTATTATGTGATAATAATTATTAACACAGTGTTTTCTTAGCTACAAATGGACTTAGACCACTTTCAAAAAAAAGCATTTATGCAATAACATTTAACAGTTAAACTTCATTTGACGAGTTCGTGGGGATATTGTAGTGTACTGACTTTGTTGCTAAAAATATGAAAATAAAATATCCACGTTTAGCTGAATCTAGCCTTAACTCATTTTTTTTCAAAATTGGACTTATGCCACTTAAAAAAAAAAAACGGCTCGTATGTTCTGTATATGCCTACATACAAAGAACTTGCATCAAATTAGGTACCTACTATTGATAACGTTCAACTTTTATCTGAAACATTCTTCCTTATCATCAACGGTTTCGAAGATATTCGCACGGATCGATTTAAACTACTCACCCTGTATAATTACAGGTCTGAAAACGTTTTATTAAACAGTTATTAGAAGAAATAATTAGACGTGAAGAGAATAGCGTTAATGAAACACTGTTACTATAAGAGTAGAAAGAAACAAAGTCACGGTAAAAGTTTGGGTATTAAATTTATTGTTTCAATAATATGGAAATGGACGAAATTACTTTCTTATTTTTCGATACAACATGATAATGAAAACTTTCAATAATTCGAAGGTGGTAGACACTGGCGAAATAAACAGATCAAATAAACGCTTACTCTTACATCGCAATACATCAACAGCCAAAATTTCATATTTTCGTTATAATATTTTAGTAAAGCGTTTCCCAATTACATTTTCCTTTTATTTCGTCTTAGAAATCATATTCACGCAATCTGCTAGCTTAACTTCGGAACACCCTGTACAAATGATTAAATTTGTAGAAACTATTTCACCACAAGCGTACAGATTCTTAAACTATTTCAATTCTCCCTCTGTTACTTTCTATCGTAGTCGCGCGTGGGAAAGAAGTTACACTCTGTCCCAGTTTCCAGAGTCAGTCGGTACATTACCAGTAGAGACCGTTTTTAACAGGTCACCCTGTATAGTCGCAAAAGTATATTCCGCTCAACGCGCGTCCCTGAATGCAAGTGCATTGACCTATGTGCCACGTCTGCGTAGGTTTCCTTCCCACCCTCTTCTTTACCCCAACGTGTTTCTTCTATTTTCCCTCGACCAGTTCGTTTCTAGCTTCCCGATTTCGGTGTTTCGTTTGCGTCGGTGACTTCATTGCGACAGAAAGCATTCACCGCCACCCTTTCCCGTCATTAATTTTCCTTCGGTCTGCCTTTCCACCGCATCGTCCAATCGGCTAGCTCTCCACCTCCTTCGAAATTATTCTCGACGAGACTTGCTGCTCGCCCTTTGCACCGTCGAACTTTCCAAGTAATTTAGGCCTAGCATCTGATGGATCGAAAAGGAACGAATTCAACAGACGCTACGGCCTGCGTAGAAACCGAGCGATATTTCCGAAAATGAGTCACGATGTTAATAACAGAGTTCGATTGATTCGAGTAATTTAGCAAATTGTACGGTTATCCGGCGTTACTTTATCCCTTTAAAGTTTTTATAAATAGCAGTATCCAGGGCCGCGTTTATAGTTTTGGAGGCCCCGGCGCAGCATTATTACGAGGCAAAGGATCAAGTCTTATATAAATTTGGTGTTTCCATTTTCAGCGGCCTCTTGTTTTTATATTATAAAATTAATATGTACAAATAAGTATTTTATTTTGCAACTATAACTAGGCTATTTTTTATACCGTTTGTGAGGAGTAAGGTTTTAAAAGGCGGACCCAGTGAAGCTCCCAGCGAAGAAATAACCTCCAATAAGGGTTTTAAATATTAAATTGACAACATTGAAGGACAAATTGGACTTAAGCTTGAACCGCCTGCGGTAATTCTCCAACGTTTATTTAAAATTTACAGAATATTTTCAAATTATGCGTACATACCAGTACGCATATTTTTCTACCTTTTTGGAAACAAACTGGACTAAATGTGCGTTTCAGTGTCACGTGCATTAACATTGCATACGAATGAAAATAAGGAACGGCATGCTGTCAGATTTTTCATGTCTCGCTTCTAATTTCGATTGAAATACTATTATTTCTTTACGTACACATACTAGATGTTATTGCATGATAACAATTTTCAAAAGAGAAAAAAAAAATACGTAAAAATTGCAATGTGAAAGGGAGCCATTGTAAACACAGACGCTTTCGCTAAAGCACAGGACCAACTTGGAAATGAAAACACTTCGAAATGTTGAAAATCGATAAAAATATAATGCGTTTTGGCCAAGTGAGTTGCGGAATATCAGCTTTTTTCTATAAAAATAATATTATTCAAAACATGCTTGCTTTATATGACAAAATTGTGGAACCGCTGCTTTTTTTAACTATTCTTTTAACTACCGAATTTTTATGAAAATAAAGAAAATGGGGGTAAATTTGAAAAAAGCTCGTCAAATGGTCAAGTGTATGATGTGCTTCAAAGTAAATTTAGCTAAATTCACATTGTAAATTTCTAAAAATATAATAGTTGATAAAGAAGTAAAGGACACATCGTGTGAAAGTTTTTTAACGCATCTCTCAACGCTTCTCCAAGATATCTCAAATTGAATTTCAATGTTTACACACAATCTTATAAAGCAAGCCTGCCTTTATCCCATTCCCAAAAATTAAGTCAATATTTGCTGCAGTCTTTTTTTTTAAGGATTCTCAAAGTAATGTAAAGTATGAAAAAATCGACATTTCTTCAAGTGTCTACAGATCTAATACCTACACTTTAGGACGATTTAAATATTTCCTACATTTCTCCTGCCAACACGTTCTTTTGACACGTTACACATAACAATTAATGAACTGCAATATACA